TCACAGGTGAAAGGGCCCCATTGAACGCAAGTAAAGGACGTATTCGAACCATCAAGCGTCAATGGGAGAGGAGAGAGAAAGAAAAAGCAAGACTTACATAGGATCCACCTTGACTCCGCTTTCAGCTCCGTCCACCAGACGAGTAAACTATTCTATCAGCATGGTCAGGAAATCTGAAAAAAAGAAACAAAATAAAACGTTAGATTAAGCTGATAAGAACAGAAGTTTTTTTATTGATAATGCTTATTGCCATTTTACATCATACTGGTATAACCATGGCATGAAATACCAATAACGCACGCAGTGCGATTTAATTTTCATTTCTTGAGGGAAGATATTTGATACAGAAAATATTTACAGAACTATATACATATTTACAAATCTGAAAAAAAGTCAGGAAATCTGAAAAAAAGAAACAAAATAAAACGTCAGATTAAGCTGATAAGAACAGAATTTATTTATTGTTAAAATATTTTGTGCCACTTTACACATATATTGGACAGACCATGGCGAGTCTATCAATAACGCACGCAGTGCGGTTTGTCTTTAACATTAATATTGTGCAGGACTTATAAATTCACAGTACAAGAGGAGGAATTACATTGCATAACATATCAGGAGGTATACAAAACAGATGAGCATATACAAAACAGACAACGTTACGAGGATATGTACACTATTTACAACGAGGAATTCAGTGGGGTCTACATGACACACCGGGTAAGTCTAGATCATAAAACAAGAGTCAAGGAGTCCTAGAGCACAACAATAGATTATCGCGATTGCAGATTATTCTTGATTTGGTGTTGCGTTTTGCGGGAGGCCGGTGAGGTGCTCTATGTATATGTCACGAGTAGCGCGGATGGTGTCACTTATGATTAACTTTCGCATTAAGGTGGCATACTTCTTGGAACATATTCGACGAACAAACCGGTCATTGCCTGGGTCCCAGGTGCCCAAAGCGCCGACAACGACAGCCTCAATCTTGACGTCATCGAAGCGTTCTCGGAGAAGGGGGAGGAGAGCAGCGTACTTTTTTTTTTTAATCTCCGGGCGCTATGGAAGGCTTCAAGACGGTTGTCGAAGGCAACTGTCGCGTCTACAACAACGGCGGATCTTCCTTTAGTGAGGAGGAGGTCGGGCCTAAGATTGAGATTGGAGAGCGTCTGATTCTCTGCATCGATAGTCCATCTAGGAGAAGCGGCTTTCTTGATTCTTTCCACGATGGTGTTATGTCTTGACGTGAAGGCACGGCTGTAGCGCATGCAGTGGCATACTACGTGGGCGAGGGTTTCCAAGGAGAAGGAGCAGCGACGACATCCTCTCATTCCATTATCCTGGCGGCGGGCAGCATTAAGGGGAACGAGGTTTAGCCTAGCGCGGTGAATGAAACGCCAGTCAGCGAAGCGGGTGAATTTTCCTTCCCGGAAGAAGTGATAACTGGCTTTGGAGGCTGCGGCGCATTCAATAGCCTTCCGTTGATTAGGATAGGAGCATAGCTTGGCAGCTCTGTCGGACTGGAACGTCGTACGGAGTGACCTTAAGACTTGACGTCGGCTAGAGGAGTAGAGAGTGATGTCTTTGAATGTCATGGAAACATCGCGATTGTCATCAAGATTCTACCGTATGCCAAGGCGTCTAGATGCACTGCGGGCGTTGGACCAGGAACTGGAGCAGGTGTTGGAGGTATTAAGGAATGGGCCACTATCATCAGCCGAAAGGAAGGCGGCGAGTTCAGCAGTAGAGGCAGATGTCTTTGTTCTAGAAGAGACAGTAAAGTGCAGGTCATCCCACGCAAGCGCGCGGACGTAAGGATCCCTGGAGGTAAGCAGCTTAAACGCCCCATCCACAAGAGCGATGTCAGAATCCTCGGCCGAGACGGGGATGCCAAAGCAAGCACCCTTGGTGCTCCCGTAAAGGTATTCATTAGATGCCTCTGGAGGCACATTCAAAGTGGTCTTCAAGAGAGGGCGAATAAAAGAGTCGAGGCGTGACCAAACAGACTTCTTGTGCCTCGCAATTCTCATGTCGAAGTGGAGCGAGGGGAAGAAGAATGACTTTAAGGCGTCGAGGCGTTGCCATGGCGCAAGCTTTGATTCCAGTATGGCTTTAGCAGAGCGGAGGTGGGCATTGTGGCTGTCATCATCCGGGGGGAGCTGGAAGCCAATGGGTTTTCCGAGGAAGATGCCACAGTGCCACAGTCGCCATCAGCGAGGCAGCGGATAGGGGTGTAATCGATCCGGAGGATGGAGGGCCTAGTACCAATTGGAGCAGTTCCAGAAATGTGCATGGAGAAGCACTTGCTGGGGTTGAAACGCAGCGACATCTTTCCGGTCAGAGAGGATGCCTTGTCAACAGTTGTCTGGAGCTCCGAGGGAGAGTCACAGATCAGGAGCAGGTCGTCAGCGTAAGCCAGGACACGATGAACGGGATCATTACCTTGAAGCTCACGGATGATTGGATCGATCGTAATGTTGAAAAGGAGGCCACTAAGCGGGCAGCCCTGTTTCACTCCCATAGTGAACGGGATAGGATCAGTGAGACCGTCGAGGGTGAGGAACTGAGTACTTGAGTCGCAGTACAGAGACTTGACAGTATCAATCAGTTGTGGTCCGGCGCCGTAAGCATTGAGGGCAGCGTAGATGGCCTGATGTGGGAGGGATCCAAAAGCGTTCGAAAGGTCAAGAGAGGCGAAGCAGATGTCCTTTTTAGTCCGTCTTGCTCTCAGGAGGCGTTGTTGTAGAACATAGTTGTTTTCAAACACACCATCATAGGGCAAGAAGCCCTTCTGACAGTGTGAGAGGACGTCGTGTTCAAGGATCCAATTGGTGACTCTCTTGGCAATACAACCAGTGAACAGCTTCGAGGCCGTCGAGGTGAGGGCGATCGGTCTCCAGTTCTTAATGTCAGTGGGCTCACCGTGCTTGAAGACGAGAGCTTCCAGCAGTCCGGGATGCGACGGGCGGCAAAGCAGATATTAAAGATGGAGGTGAGGACTGTTGCGTCAGGATCCACTAACCGCCAGTGCTGGTAGCTGATCATGTCGGGACCGGGTGCGGAGTTTTCTGCAGCACGGAGACGTGTCGAAACTTCCACAGAGGAAAATGGAGAAGAATCAACGGTGGCTGGTGCAGGTGTGACAGAAGAGAAGACAGATGCGTCAGCACTGGGTGTGTCTGTGAGATTGGAGAAGTAAGCAAAGATGGTATCACTGGGGCTAGGACATCTGGGAGCATCTCCTTCAACGATTAGACGTACGGCACGACGGCGATTGCGGCGGCGGTACAGTTTCTGCAGCTTTTTAGGATCATCAAGTAAAGAAGTGGAGTCCCGGGCGGAGGGGGTGGACGAAACGACAGGAGGCAGTTTTACGTGTTCCGTTATGATTCCAGTGACTTCGTCCAGGTAATCCTCAAACATGCGCCATTTAGACGGGGACGAGGCAGCTCCGAGTGCGAGGAACTTCTCTTTGTAGTGTGCGATGGGGGATGGAGAGAAGAGTTCTTCATCAGGTAGAGGAGAAGCATCATCAACGGCGGTGATGTCATAGTCGAGTGAGTGTAGAGGTGGTTCAAGCGGTAGAACACCAGAGGCTGGAAAGCCATCAGGCGGGTCAGGGCTGAGTAGATGAGCATCAGGAGGTGCAGGAGACCCAGGAGCGGAGGGAGGAGGTAGATCCTGGCTGGAGTACTCAGCAGGCAAGGGTGGAGCAGCAGGCATAGAATGGGGAGGTGGAGGCTGTCTTGAGTAATAGATCCTACTTCTTCTCCGGGTGCTTTGTTGATGACGTTCAGGAGGCGGGCCAACAGAGTGCATGGAACGAATTCTTTCCCTCTTGTGGAGAGCTTCATGGTTGAGGAAGCCTCCACGCGTGGGACAAGAAAAATTGCAGGTGCGACATCTCCACCGAAAAGTTCTACCAGTGGCAGCAACCGGTCCATGCAGGCGGAGGCAGGAGTGCCGAGAAGGTCTGTCAGAAAGAGTGCAGGAGCAGGCGCTGCACCATCTGATGGTGAGACGAACAGAGGTGCCGTGGGCGACGGAGAGGTGGCGTAGGAGTGAGTGTCGTGTGTGAGACCAAGAGCTGGAGACGAAGATCTTGTTGCGTCCTGGCTCGGTGCATCTAAGGGCGTCGGTGTATATTCAGTGTATTCAGTATATTCAGTGTAGACGGGAAAGAACCTGCTCGCTCACAGGGAACCTGCACGCTCACAGGTGAAAGGGCCCCATTGAACGCAAGTAAAGGACGTATTCGAACCATCAAGCGTCAATGGGAGAGGAGAGAGAAAGAAAAAGCAAGACTTACATAGGATCCACCTTGACTCCGCTTTCAGCTCCGTCCACCAGACGAGTAAACTATTCTATCAGCATGGTCAGGAAATCTGAAAAAAAAAGAAACAAAATAAAACGTTAGATTAAGCTGATAAGAACAGAAGTTTTTTTATTGATAATGCTTATTGCCATTTTACATCATACTGGTATAACCATGGCATGAAATACCAATAACGCACGCAGTGCGATTTAATTTTCATTTCTTGAGGGAAGATATTTGATACAGAAAATATTTACAGAACTATATACATATTTACAAATCTGAAAAAAAGTCAGGAAATCTGAAAAAAAGAAACAAAATAAAACGTCAGATTAAGCTGATAAGAACAGAATTTATTTATTGTTAAAATATTTTGTGCCACTTTACACATATATTGGACAGACCATGGCGAGTCTATCAATAACGCACGCAGTGCGGTTTGTCTTTAACATTAATATTGTGCAGGACTTATAAATTCACAGTACAAGAGGAGGAATTACATTGCATAACATATCAGGAGGTATACAAAACAGATGAGCATATACAAAACAGACAACGTTACGAGGATATGTACACTATTTACAACGAGGAATTCAGTGGGGTCTACATGACACACCGGGTAAGTCTAGATCATAAAACAAGAGTCAAGGAGTCCTAGAGCACAACAATAGATTATCGCGATTGCAGATTATTCTTGATTTGGTGTTGCGTTTTGCGGGAGGCCGGTGAGGTGCTCTATGTATATGTCACGAGTAGCGCGGATGGTGTCACTTATGATTAACTTTCGCATTAAGGTGGCATACTTCTTGGAACATATTCGACGAACAAACCGGTCATTGCCTGGGTCCCAGGTGCCCAAAGCGCCGACAACGACAGCCTCAATCTTGACGTCATCGAAGCGTTCTCTGAGAAGGGGGAGGAGAGCAGCGTACTTTTCTTTTTTTAATCTCCGGGCGCTATGGAAGGCTTCAAGACGGTTGTCGAAGGCAACTGTCGCGTCTACAACAACGGCGGATCTTCCTTTAGTGAGGAGGAGGTCGGGCCTAAGATTGAGATTGGAGAGCGTCTGATTCTCTGCATCGATAGTCCATCTAGGAGAAGCGGCTTTCTTGATTCTTTCCACGATGGTGTTATGTCTTGACGTGAAGGCACGGCTGTAGCGCATGCAGTGGCATACTACGTGGGCGAGGGTTTCCAAGGAGAAGGAGCAGCGACGACATCCTCTCATTCCATTATCCTGGCGGCGGGCAGCATTAAGGGGAACGAGGTTTAGCCTAGCGCGGTGAATGAAACGCCAGTCAGCGAAGCGGGTGAATTTTCCTTCCCGGAAGAAGTGATAACTGGCTTTGGAGGCTGCGGCGCATTCAATAGCCTTCCGTTGATTAGGATAGGAGCATAGCTTGGCAGCTCTGTCGGACTGGAACGTCGTACGGAGTGACCTTAAGACTTGACGTCGGCTAGAGGAGTAGAGAGTGATGTCTTTGAATGTCATGGAAACATCGCGATTGTCATCAAGATTCTACCGTATGCCAAGGCGTCTAGATGCACTGCGGGCGTTGGACCAGGAACTGGAGCAGGTGTTGGAGGTATTAAGGAATGGGCCACTATCATCAGCCGAAAGGAAGGCGGCGAGTTCAGCAGTAGAGGCAGATGTCTTTGTTCTAGAAGAGACAGTAAAGTGCAGGTCATCCCACGCAAGCGCGCGGACGTAAGGATCCCTGGAGGTAAGCAGCTTAAACGCCCCATCCACAAGAGCGATGTCAGAATCCTCGGCCGAGACGGGGATGCCAAAGCAAGCACCCTTTGGTGCTCCCGTAAAGGTATTCATTAGATGCCTCTGGAGGCACATTCAAAGTGGTCTTCAAGAGAGGGCGAATAAAAGAGTCGAGGCGTGACCAAACAGACTTCTTGTGCCTCGCAATTCTCATGTCGAAGTGGAGCGAGGGGAAGAAGAATGACTTTAAGGCGTCGAGGCGTTGCCATGGCGCAAGCTTTGATTCCAGTATGGCTTTAGCAGAGCGGAGGTGGGCATTGTGGCTGTCATCATCCGGGGGGAGCTGGAAGCCAATGGGTTTTCCGAGGAAGATGCCACAGTCGCCATCAGCGAGGCAGCGGATAGGGGTGTAATCGATCCGGAGGATGGAGGGCCTAGTACCAATTGGAGCAGTTCCAGAAATGTGCATGGAGAAGCACTTGCTGGGGTTGAAACGCAGCGACATCTTTCCGGTCAGAGAGGATGCCTTGTCAACAGTTGTCTGGAGCTCCGAGGGAGAGTCACAGATCAGGAGCAGGTCGTCAGCGTAAGCCAGGACACGATGAACGGGATCATTACCTTGAAGCTCACGGATGATTGGATCGATCGTAATGTTGAAAAGGAGGCCACTAAGCGGGCAGCCCTGTTTCACTCCCATAGTGAACGGGATAGGATCAGTGAGACCGTCGAGGGTGAGGAACTGAGTACTTGAGTCGCAGTACAGAGACTTGACAGTATCAATCAGTTGTGGTCCGGCGCCGTAAGCATTGAGGGCAGCGTAGATGGCCTGATGTGGGAGGGATCCAAAAGCGTTCGAAAGGTCAAGAGAGGCGAAGCAGATGTCCTTTTTAGTCTTAGTCCGTCTTGCTCTCAGGAGGCGTTGTTGTAGAACATAGTTGTTTTCAAACACACCATCATAGGGCAAGAAGCCCTTCTGACAGTGTGAGAGGACGTCGTGTTCAAGGATCCAATTGGTGACTCTCTTGGCAATACAACCAGTGAACAGCTTCGAGGCCGTCGAGGTGAGGGCGATCGGTCTCCAGTTCTTAATGTCAGTGGGCTCACCGTGCTTGAAGACGAGTGCTTCCAGCAGTCCGGGATGCGACGGGCGGCAAAGCAGATATTAAAGATGGAGGTGAGGACTGTTGCGTCAGGATCCACTAACCGCCAGTGCTGGTAGCTGATCATGTCGGGACCGGGTGCAGAGTTTTCTGCAGCACGGAGACGTGTCGAAACTTCCACAGAGGAAAATGGAGAAGAATCAACGGTGGCTGGTGCAGGTGTGACAGAAGAGAAGACAGATGCGTCAGCACTGGGTGTGTCTGTGAGATTGGAGAAGTAAGCAAAGATGGTATCACTGGGGCTAGGACATCTGGGAGCATCTCCTTCAACGATTAGACGTACGGCACGGAAAACGTATTATATGCGCGCTGCCGACTGCATTGTCCATCTTCGACCCATCCGTGTAAATCATGAAGCCCGGGCCCTCTATGGATGGTGGTAATTCAGGGGCGAAGTGAGTCACAACACCTTTCCCGTAATCTGAAGGGTGCGTTTTAAGTTTTGAACTTTTAAACTCGAAGTCTGCAGGGTCATAGCTGAACTCCCCAAATCGTGCTTTTCTATGCAGTGGGAAAACATTGTAATTGCGGCTTCTGCTGTGCTTTTATTGGTACGGGATTAGTCCCGCCAGAACTGCTGCGGCTGCTGTCCCGTTGTTCGATATGCCTTTGTAATCGCCAGTACGAAAGGTCTTTGGGAACTTTGAAGAATTTTTTGTTTCCTGCAGGTTCATGGGGTTTGCCCAGATTGCCGCCCCGTAGATCATGATCTTTTCTGCTATTACAGAGTATGGGATCTTTAGGATATGGGGACGCAGTCCCCATTTGGAGCCTTGCATTTTCCTT